TACTCTTAGTACTGATTTGAAACTTGAAGCAAGATGGCATTTTATTTCATATATTTCTGTTTTGCTTCTGTTTTATGCAAATATAAATCCTTTTTTTAAGTGATTGTTAAAATTGTATGGCATTACATTTTAATCTACAAATAAACAAAGTTAAAAGATAATGTTTGTTTTTCACGTTGATTTTCCTTGTATCACCTGAACTGGATTTTCTTGCATTTCAGTCAGCACTTCAGGCATTTCATAATAATTGATCACCACATTTCAAGTAGGCTTCATAGATTGATTAATAGAGCTACCACTACTTTAGAAACAAAAGAAAATAGAGTATTATAGTTACATAGTCTTGTAATATTGTTTCATGATTCTTGAAAAAATACTCATATCCTCACAGGAAACCATGTGTAGAGTTGATTGCTTGCTGGATCGGTACTGTTTCTGAAGTGTAAAAACATGTGATTATTTTTTAATGAAACTGTTGTATGTATGAAATTAGATGAAGCAGAGGAACACCATCAAGTACCATCTAGTTATAAGGCTTTTATTTATAACTGTCTAACCTCAATATCAGTTACATTTTAGCAATAATAATGGATATAACCACAAAATAGGTAAGGGTAGTACACATACCAAAAGTCATGTATAATAAACCCACCACCAGTATCATCCTGAATGGGGAAAAACTGAAAGCTTTTCCTTTAAGAACAGGAACTAGACAAGGATGCCCACTCTCACCACTCCTATTCAACATCGCATTTGAAGTACTAGCCAGAGCCATCAGGCCAGAGAAAGAAAGAAATGGCATCCAGATTGGAAAAGATGAAGTCAAATTGGCTCTGTTCACTGAAGAACAGAAAAATCCATAACCCCTACCAAAAAACTTCTAGAGCTGATAAATGATTTCATTAAAGTTACAGGATACTAAATCAATACACAAAAATCAGAAGTGTTCTTATACAACAACAACGAACAAGCAGGAAAAGAAATCAAGAAAGCAAGCCCATTTACAATAGCTACCAAAATAATAAAACACCTAGGAATAAATTTAACCAGAGAGGTGAAAGATTTCTACAATGAGAACTACAAAATTCTCTTGAAAGAAATTATAGAGGACACCAAAAGATGGAAAGACATTCCTTGTTCATGAATTGGAAGAATTAACATTGTGAAAATGTCCATACTCCCCATGTCCATTGATTTATTCTTGTCCAATATTCTTGCTCTGCTATAGATATATGTTAACAGACTGCATTGCAGAATTTAAAATATTAGTTCTACTGGTGACTAAAATTTTTAGTGTTTTTTAATTTTTATCATATTCTTGGATATTGTGTTTTGTATCACTTTAAAATTTTTAAATATCTTTTAAATAGGCAATATATTCACATTATACATAACTCAAAAATTATGACAATTAGGTGTAAAGTACGAGTCTACACATTACATAAGTCACAGCATTCTGTATTCTCTCTTCTACATCTTACTTTAGTGAATAATTTATTTTGGATAATGTTTCATATGAAGACACACAGATCTGCCTCATTATTTCAGAAGTGGAAGTAATATAAATTTTGTTTATTTTTGTGGTGAAGCAATATTATAATTTATAAGGTACCCCAATATTTAAAAGTTTGTAGCAAATGCTTGACCTGGCAGCATTTAGCACAACATGATAATACATTGCCAAATAGCACCATCCCTTTTCTCTCCCTCTCTTGCCAGGAGGGCTCTTTTAAAAAATTGTATATTTTTAAGATGTAGAACATGGTGTTTTGAGGAACATATACATAGTGAAATGATTACTACAGTTAAGCAAGTTAGCCTATTCATCTCATTCCCTAGTTACGTGTGTGTGTTAAAAGTATCTAAAATCTACTCTATTAGCAAGTTTTCAGCGCACAATACAATATCATTAACTATAGCCCTCAGACTTTACTCTCTAGACTTATTCATCCAACACATAACTGGATGTTTCTTCCTTTTAACCTACTTCTCCCTGTTTCCTTCCCCTCTATGCCCTTGGTAACACAGTGTTTTCTCTCTCCCCTATGCATTTTTGTATATTACTTTTTTCTTTTCTTTTTTTTTTTTTAGATTCCACACATAAGTAAGATCATGCAGTAATTGTCTTTCTGTATCTGGCTTATTTCACTTAGCATAATGTTCTTGGGATTCATTCATGTTGTTGTAAATGGTAGTATCTCTTTTTTTTAAGGCTGAATAATATTCCATGGTGTACATGTATATCACAATCTCTTTATCCATTTATTGACTGATGGACAGTTAGGTTGTTTCCATATCTGAGCTATTGTGAATAATGTTTCAATGAACATGGGAGCACAACTATACCTATGAGGTGCTGATTTCATTTCCTATTTGCATAATCTACAGTTTTGGTAGCTGTCTTGCACTAGGAAATAGGTTTCCATCCTTCTGTTAACGGAGTAATATGAAGAATGCAGGAATCATATTTTTTAGATGGAAGAAAATCTAAATCCCTTCTAATGCCCTTATTTGGCAGATGAGGAAACTAGACTGAAGAAATTAAAGTGAAATAAATAAGGTTCTTTCCTTTTTGCTTCTTTCATGTCATCAATTCTTTAGCTGTTCATTCATTTATTCATTTTGTCATTATTATTTTTAGTATATATTAAGTTAAAAATCTACATTATTCTTAGTCCTAAGCCAAGGCACCATTGTCACCAGAGTATAAATGCTATTCATTTGTTCCCTATTTTCTCCCCACTTCCAGTGAGACCCCTTAGCTGCCCTTTCCCAGGCAATGTAGTATTTAATCAATACATAGTAATTTGAGTTATACTTATCAATACTCTAAATTTTGAGGCTACCTGTTTTTATATTCCTTTCCACTGCTTCTATAAACTTTGGCTTAAATTTGCACCTAGGTGGGGCATAGCCAAGAATGGCCTATCTCCAAATGGAAAGGAAGCCAGGAAGTGTGGCCAAGGCCTATTACTGTGTTAGGGTGGAACAAAAAGATTAGGGAGAAAATGTAGCTACTATTACATGTTACAGTCATCATTAGAGAGTCCAATATCTTGATGCAATGAGGTCTTAGGATATAATTTCATAAAAGAATATTTGTATCTCTGTGTGTTTGTGTTTATGTGCATTTTCTGTGCAGAAGTTACTTTTTTCAACAAATCTTCAAATGGATATATGATCCCAGAAAGTTCAAGATCAAGATACAGCACTTCTTAACCATGATTATGTTTACAAGTCACCTGTGCCCTTTCAAAGCCATATTTCCAACCTATTGAATTAGATTTAGATTCCTCTTGGGGTAAGGCACAGGACATGAGTATTTAAAGAAAAAAAAACTTCGGAGGTATTCTAATATGCGTTCTTGGCTAGGAATTGTGAGTCCAAAGAAAATGAAAGAATGACAAGTGAAATATTAATCCTAATTGTCTTTCAAATAGAATGAAAATGAAGTTCCTATAATTATAAAAATTGTGGGGAAGAATTATTTTGGTGGGGAGAAATTGGAATTAATAATAAAAAGTCCTTCGAAAACTAGAATATTTTTCTCTTACTGAGCTTATTCTGTGGGCATTGTGTTTCCTGAACATCCCCAAAAGAGATTCATATCTATGTTGGTTGGGTATGAATAAATCAATACCAATTATAGCAATTGCATAGATTTTTTTCCATTAATTTAGTTGTAAATCTTTTGAGCCATAGAGTTGTGACAAAAACGGAAATATCATAAAACTCTAGAAAACTGTTGTAAATATTAACACTATCCATAAGCTCTCTATTACTGAGCACAGCGGATATTTACCTTCATAACTTGAGCCTGGAGTAAAATGCTCCATCTGTTATTTTGCCTCAAGTGACTAATACCAAAGTTAACTCACCTTCTAGGGATGACGACATTTATTTCTACCTAAAACATTATCTTAAGAAGGCCTCTCATGTGGAGGTAAAAAGAAAAAAAAAGACTGGGACATTCTCTTAAATTCAGTGCCCTTTGGATTCTGCTATTGCTTTAACACACAGAGTAATTCTTAGCACCACTATCAAAGCACACACACACCACCACCACCACCACCACCACCACCACCACCACCACCACCACCACCACCCCCACCACCAAAACCACCACCACCACCACCACCACCAAAACCACCACCACCACCACCACCAAAACCACCACCACCACCACCACCACCAAAACCACCACCACCACCACCACCAAAACCACCACCACCACCACCACCACCAAAACCACCACCACCACCACCACCAAAACCACCACCACCACCACCACCACCAAAACCACCACCACCACCACCACCAAAACCACCACCACCACCACCACCACCAAAACCACCACCACCACCACCACCAAAACCACCACCACCACCACCACCACCACCACC